GAGCGATTTTCTGTTGTCCTTCCATGGAAGCGGGCAGCTTTCAAACGGAAATAAAACACTTTTTAATATAAGTTGCTGCTTTGACATGATCACAGAACTGACAAAACATATCTACAAAATTCCTAAATAAAACATAAAATATTTGAAAATCAGACACCAGACAAGTGAATCACAGCAACGTCATCAGCCGGTGAGACGCTGAACTGATGCGGTGAAGCTACTAGTAGCAGGAGAGGAGCTGCGCCAAAAGCTACAAACACTGAAGAGAAGAAGAAGAAGGAGAAGAAGAAGAAGAAGAAGAAGAAGAAGAAGAGCTGCCATCGATACTGTTGCAGCCAAGCAGCCAAACTCCCGCTGGCTCACAGCAGAAGCGGTCCTGTTAGAACCAGTTCTGTTCACGATGACAGGTCCAGTGTTCCACCTGCTGCTGTGATCCACAACGATTACATTAATCAGATCCAATACCAGTTATCAAACAACACACTCAGGTTCTGGTTATTATTTTAACTGGTTATAAGTTTCCTAAGTGTTGAAAGGCAGTTAGCATAACTACAAGTTATTATAGAAACACGTAAACTAATTATCTGGAGAAAAAAAATTCCAGAAAACTGCTGAAATACTGAGTTCTTTTAAATCAAGGCTAAAAACCCATTTGGCATTGTCTTTGATTCATCACTGTAAAATGATGGACTGTCTGTTTCCTTGTGATGTTTCGGTTTGTTCTTTGCTTTCATCGTGGAAACTGGTTGAGCTGGAAATCAAAGAAGAACCAGGAAGAAATCAGTTTCATCCAGAAACATCAAACACCAATGACATCTGAGGAAACAGACAGGTGTAGAAACAGAGTCTAAAGTGTAAGTAATCTGAAGAACAGACAGATAAACTGAATTACATTTTTAATAGAGTCAGTTTTATTTAAGAAGAATCCCATAAGAATAAACCCAGGATTATTCTTATTCTCCTCTATTGATGAAAAATCATTCTAGTTTGGCGAAAGTCTTTTTCAACATGTCATGTCCGCTCCTCTAGACATGAAGAGCTGTTTATCTAAAGCAGTTTAATGCAGTTTGGAGCCAAGCTGCTGTGGATAATCATCTGACTTTTAGGGGCTGAAGAGTCAAACAGCACAAACAGAGGAAGTGACTCTACAGACACCATCACCAATCTGAGAAGCTGAGAAGCCTCAGAATGAACGGCTGCTCTGTGCCGTGTTTCTACCACTGCGAGGAAATGAAACACAACTGATAAATATTTAACAGCATTGTCTGATAAAGATCTCCTATAATGTAATTTTCAGGGTCACCGGGGTCAGCGTGGAGTCTCCCACGATCGTGACCCGATCAGTATTTAACACCAAACAGAGCCGAGGAACATCTGGACACATGAACATGTCATCCTTCTACACATAAGAACCAGCTGGATGCTAGCAGCAAAACAATATCAGTGATGGCGCAGGAGTGAGATCAGCCCGGCTCCAGCTGTAAACATCTGTCTACAGAGGAAGAGGAAGGGATGGGAGGAAGAGTGTGCAGGGAGGAGGCGAAGGAGGAGAAAAGGCAGAGCCCAGGCAGAGAGGACAGCCTGATGTCTGCTGACAAAATCAGAAGATTCACCAAGCAGTCTGGACACAACGTCCTGAGCCTGGCCCGCCGTGGACTCAAGGTACAGCAGTGCCCCCTGCTGGAGGGAGGCAGCGGCGGTGCTACCTGAGACGAAGGTGGAGCAGGTGTTATTGAAATAAAAGTGGTGCATGTTGCTGCTCCACCAGGACGCTCCAGGGGAGCTGTGGGAGCTGCTGGAGCTGGAGAAGCTGAATCTGTCCCTCAACAACCTGAAGGCGCTGCCTCCTCAGCTGGCCCTGCTGTCCAACCTGCTGGTCCTCAACCTGTGGGGGAACCAGGTGAGCCCCGTCACAGCCGTCCTCCTCCTGCAGCATGCTTCGGTTAGAAACCGGACCTGACGCTGTGACGTCTGCAGCTCAGCAGCCTGCCGGCCGAGATCGGGCAGCTGAGGAGACTCCGGGTTCTGTTCGTCTACAGAAACAGACTGACGGAGGTTCCTGAGGATCTGGGGGCCTGCACACAGCTGGAGGTACGCTTCCCTCGCCACGCCTCATTTCAGGTCCACAGCTGTGCTGCGCCCCCTCCAGAGCTCACCCTCTGTCTCCGCTTCAGGTCCTGAGTCTGGCCAACAACCAGCTCTCCTCGCTGCCGGCTTCTCTCTCCAACCTGACCAGACTCAGGAAGCTCAACCTCAGCCACAACCTCATGACTCACCTGCCAGGCTGCATTTACAGCATGAAGGCCCTGGTAGGTTTCCACCAGCCAGAGAGCAGACCAGGCAGCCTGCAGTGACCCACTGTCCCCCTGTCCTCCTGCAGGTCTTCCTGGATCTGTCCTGCAACCGTCTGGAGAACGTGGCTGAGAACATCCAGGCTCTGCTGGAGCTCAAGATCCTCCTCATGGAGGGAAACCACCTCCACTCTCTGCCCAGAGGTCTCTGCTTCCTCACCAGGTAACTCCACCTGAACGCTTGGTGCCACAGGACATTCAGCTTTGGAGAACTTCTCCACCTGATGGCGCTATCCTGATTTCCTTCAGGCTGGAGCTGCTCAACCTGGACTTTAACTGCATCAGAGACCTTCCTGAGGTGAGCAACCAACCACATTGATGAGGATGACGGTGGTAATAATGATGGAAATGAAGATAAAGGTGATAATAATAATAATAATAATAATAATAATAATAATAATAATAATAATAATAATAGGGCTGCACAGTGGCGCAGTTGGTAGAGCTGTTGCCGTGCAGCAAGAAGGTTCTGGGTTCAATTCCCGGCCCCGGTCTTTCTGCATGGAGTTTGCATGTTCTCCCTGTGCATGCGTGGGTTTACTCCGGGTACTCCAGTTTCCTCCCACAGTCCAAAAAACATGACTGTTAGGTTAATTGGTCTGTCTAAATTGCCCCTAGGTGTGTGTGTGCACATGGTTGTGTGTCTCTGTGTTGCCCTGCGACAGACTGGCGACCTGTCCAGGATGTACCCCGCCTCTCGCCCGGAACATTAGCTGGAGATAGGCACCAGCACCCCTCCTGACCCCACTGAGGGACAAGGGTGTTCAGAAAATGGATGGATGGATAATAATAATAATGTTGGGAACTGGGTTTTGGTTCTGTAGGGATTCTCTGCTGCTTGCTGTTTTCCTCTCTATCCACTAGATGGTGCCAAGAGGCTGCACTACCTGGAGGGTGTCCCTGCTGTATGGAGTCAGTGTGACATAACACTCAGGCCAACATTCAAACCCCGCAGATACACTCAGGTGAACTTTAGCAGAACAACATTCAGTCACATGATTCCACCTTACGAGATCTGAGTACCCGCCAAACTGAAACAAATCGTCATCTTGAAGCTCTCTCCAACAGACTTCTGTTCCAGATCCAGATCCAGATCCAGCTCCTGGGGCATTCTTCTGGAATGTCCCAGATTTAAAAAGTGCTCACTTCCACACCCTAAATGACTCTATCAAGGATGAGTTAGTCACATTAGAAGAGCTAATCAGTTTAACCATCAGACTGGATAACAGAATGAAGGAAAGAAACAAGAGAAACCCACCCATCAGATTGCTCCCTTCCATCTCTCCCACTCTCTCTCTCCATCTCCTCCCCAGAACTTCACAGAATCCGAGCCCATGCAGATCTTACTCCTGAGAGATGGAGGAGAAAGACATCCCATCTCCACCTATATTGTGGATCCCCCGGCCATTTCATTTCAACCTGCCCTGTTTGATCAAAAGCTCAGGGCCGCCAGTAGAAGCGGGGAGGCTGGCGGACCATCTTTGTAATGAAAAGTCTCCTTGTCTACTGTTACCTGCTACTCTGTTCCAAAATAATCACTCTCTTTCCTTGTCATGATGGATTCCGGTTGTGAACAGAACCTTATGGACTCTGCTCTTGTCAGGCACCTGTCCACTGAAACGGTGCCTCTCCATGTCTCTGCCCTGGATGGCAAAGCGTTACCTGAGATCACTCACAAAACTAAACCTGATAATCTCGGGTAGTGAACAGATTTCTTTTTTCATTTTTCCTACAGTTAACTCACCCATAATTCTTGGTTTTGAATCGTTACAACACAATCCTCATATAAACTGGTCTGAAATGCGTATTGAATCATGGTCACATAACTGTCATTCCACCTGCCTCCGCTCAGTAGTTCCTCCAGGTCTTCCACCAGCAGAATTACAAGAAGCAGACCCTCCCGACTTATCCACCATACCCGCAGAATATCATGATTTGGCACCTGTCTACAGCAAATCCAAAGCACTCTCTCTTCTCTTCCACCTCATCATCCCTATGACTGTGCGATAGATCTTCTCCCCGGAGCACCAGTACCCACCAGCCGACTCTACAACATTTCATGACCCGAATGAGAAAAACCATGGAGAGGTACATAAAAAAACCTCACTGGCAGCTGGCATTATTCGTCCCTCTTCCTCTCTTCTTGGGGCTGGATTTTTCTTTGTGGGGAAGAGGGATAGATCCGTGAGGCCATGCATTGATTACCAAGATTTAAATCAGATCATTGTTAAAAACAAATATCCCCTTCCCCTTCTCTCTTCAACTGTTGAACCGGTTCATGGTGCAACCATATTCCCCAAACTCAACTTACGAAATGCATACCATCTTCTCTGCATCCGTCCAGGATGAATGGAAGGCAGCTTTCAAGACATCTATATATCTCTTGTTAACGACATTTTGAGAGATTTTCTTAATGTGTTTGTATTTGTCTATCTCAACGACATTTTGATCTATCCCAAGTCCCTAACTGAACACAAACAAGATGTCCACCTCTTTCTGCAACAACTCGTGGAAAATTAACTTTTTGTCAAAGCTCAGAAATGTGAATTCCACAAACCATCCGTTTCTCTCCTGGGCTTCATACTCGAGGGCGGACAGGTAAGACCAACGGAGGAAAAGATCAAAGCAGTTTTGGATCAGCCCACTCCAGAGTCCCGTAAACAACTGCAAAGGTTTTTCGAATTCGCTAACTTCTACCGCCACTTTATATGTAACTATAGTCAAACAGCATTACCATTAACCGCTTTAACTTCAACCAAGACATAATTCGTTTGGACCTCTGAGGCCGACAGTGCAGCTCAAATCACTTTTTGCCAACGCTCCGTTTATGTTCAACCTGATCCCAGTAAACAATTTATTGTTGAAGTAGATTCATCAGATACCAGTAGGAGCTGTACTTTCACAAGTCTCTGACCTTGATAATAAAACCCATCCTTGTGCCTTTTTGTTATCGCAGATTGACCCCTCCTGAACGCAATTATGATCTCTCGTTGATTGAGAACTACTTGCCATAAAGCTTGCCTTGGAGGAGTGGCAGCATTGGTTGGAGGGTGCAGAACATCCTGTGCTGGTTTGGACAGATCACAGGAACCTCTCCTATCTCCAATCCGCCAAAAGATTAAACCCCCGTCAATCCCACTGATCTTTGTTTTTCTCTTGCTTCAACCTGTCTATTTCCTATCGTCCTGGCTCTAGAAATGTCAAACCTGACGCACTCTTCTGACTTCACTCCTCAGACGACTCGCAAAAAGTTCCAGCCACCATTCTTCCTCCCAGTTGTTTAGTTGCCTCTGTAACCTGGGAGATCGAAGACCTCATCTGTCAAGCCCAACAAACTGAACCACCTCCTGACTCTGTTCCCCTCAACAAGGTCTACGTCCCCACTTCCGTCTGAGCCCGTCTCATTCATTGGATCCATTCATCTAAATTCTCAGCTCACCCAGGTATCAGTCGCACCATTGCTCCTATCAGCTGTAGGTTCTGGTGGCCGTCCCTATACAAAGATGTCAAAAAACACCTTAGCCTGTTCAGTTTGTGAAAGAAACAAGTCCTCTCATCAACCTCCATCTGGTCTCCTGCAACCCCTTTACATCCCTAAGCCCCCTTGGTCACACATCTCCATTGACTTTGTTACAGGACTACCCTTATCTAAAGGTATGACCACAATCCTAACCACCATTGACTGTTTTTCTAAATCTTGCCATCTTGTTCCCCTCAGAAAACTTTCCACAGCTTTCCAGACTGCACTACTCCTCGTCAAACATGTTTTCCGCTTCGCATTATTGAGGTATTGGCTTTCTTGTGGTATCCTCTCTGATACCTAAAGAAAGAGGATACCTCTCTGATTTCTTGAGGCAGAGGTTCCCAAACTGTGGGGCGCGCCCCCTAGGGGGGGCTCCGTGTCATTGCAGGGGGGTGCGGGAAGCCGTCTGGATGAAAAAAAAACAAACAAAACATGAACACTGTATGCGCTGGGTTTTTACCTTAGAATGGC